CTAGCTTCTTTATTGAGGTTTATTTCATGTTTTAGGTAAATTTATATTTTATGCATTTTATTTTATTTCTTAGTTGATAATCCACCCAATCTTTATCTGATTAGAGTGTTTAGGATTTATTTTTCCTTTTTGTGTTATCGATACCAAAGCTAAATTCCGAACCGCCTTCCTCGTGAGATCGACCCAGGGAACGAATCTTTTGATTCGATACTCGGTAAAAATAACAATTTGTACACAACAATCTCATCAAGATTTATTCTTCGCTTTTGTCCAAATCCTTTCACGACTAAGCGAGCTTTGTACTTCAACAGCTTGTCACCATCTTTCTTAAGCTTGAACACCCATTTATTTTTCAAGGCTTTCCTGCCTTCTGGAAGCTTCACAAGCTCATAAGTTTCGTTTTTCACCAGTGAATCCATTTCTTCTTGCATGGCTTTCATCCACTGGGATTTATCCTTATGTGTCTGAACTTCTTCAAAACTTTCTGGCTCTCATTCTTCAGTGATAGTAATATACGTGGAACTAGGGTATCTCGTAGATGGTTGGATCACTCGACTTGATCTCCTGAGCTGTGGTGGAGCTTCGAGGTTTTCCTGCTTGACACCTTCACCACCGCCATCTTCTATTGCTGGCTCGTCATCAACCCTGAGTTCTCCATCACACTCTCCCTCTGCTGTGGCATCTCCAGGAGGTTTGACAGGTGAAAGATCCACCTTTCCACTTGGTTCTCTTATTTCTGGTGAAGCAGAATCAGACATAGTTTCTTGCTCATGGAACACTACATCTTTGCTTCTGATAATTTTTCGATTTTCTGGATCCCATAACCTGTAGCCAAAATCATCATCTCCATAGCCCAGAAATATACAAGGAATGGCTTTATCATTAAGTTTTCGTCTATGTTCCTTGCTAACGTGAGCAAAAGCTTTGCATCCAAACACTTTTAAATGAGAGTATCTAACATCATGTCCGGACCATACTCTCTCGGGGATATCAAAGCCCAAAGGAACAGATGGAGATCGATTGATCAGGTAGCACGCTGTTAGAATAGCTTCTCCCCAGAATGGCTTAGGTAGCTTAGTCATTCTTAACATACACCTCACTTTCTCCATAATGGTTCTGTTGATTCTTTCAGCCACACCATTATGTTGTGGGGTTCCAGGTACAGTCTTCTCATGCCTGGTGCCATGCTCGGCACAATAATTCTTGAATTCATTGGAAGTATACTCCCCCCCATTATCTGAGCGAAGACACTTCAAAGTTTTACTAGCCTGTCTCTCCACCATAGCATGAAACCTTTTGAAGTATTGAAAAACTTCACCCTTCGTTCTAAAGAAATACACCCACAATTTTCGTGAAGCATCATCGATAAATGTCACGAAATATCTGCTACCAACGAGATTCTCCACTTCCATGGGTCCACATACATCAGAATACACCATCTCCAACACATTTTCTTTTAGCTTCGAAGTCTTGTTGAAAGACACTCTGTGATGCTTCCCAAAGAGACAATAATCACAAGGATTCAGTTTTGAATCTTTGACAAATGGGATGAGGGACTTTCTTGCCAAAATTTGCAATCCTTTTTCACCAATGTGAGCCAGTCTTTTCTGCCACAAATTTGGCGAAGCATCATCTTCGACTGCATTCAATCCACCCTTGATCAGCTTCACTTGAGTTCTGTACAGTGTCGATCTCACTGTACCTATAGCAGCTAACAACGATCCTTTGGTAAGCCTCCACGTGCCGCTACCAAAATTGTTAGTATAGCCTGCTAGATCCAGTGCGTGCACAGAGATCAGATTCAGACGTAAATCAGGTACATGTCGCACATCCTTCAGTGTTATTGTGCACCCAATATCAGTTTGAATGCACACATCACCAACTCCCACAATATTTGCAACGCTGTTGTTGCCCATCTTTACTCTACCAAAATCTCCTTCTTTGTAAAGAGAAAAGAATTCTTTGTGAGAGGTTGCATGGTATGATGCTGCTGAGTCAATAACCCATTCAACATATGAATCAACAACATGACACTCTTCTTCTTCAACAGAGAGCAACACCACTTCCCCATTGATTACAGGGGTTGCGGTATTTTCACCGTTCTCTGATTTGTTGTTCCTCCAACCTCTGTTCTTCCAGGCTTTGCAGTTTCTTTTGATATGCCCTTCTTCACCGCAGTGATAACACTTGAACTTTCTCCTGGGTTGAAATTGTGATTTATCTCTGGATTTGTTATCCCGGCCTCTGCTTTTACTTCTCTCCCTGGTTTCTGTGACCAGGGCTTGGGAACTGCTTGCCCCAGAGTCTTTTCTCCTTGTTTCTTCGTTAAACATACTGTCTTTGACTTGGATCAAAGTCAGTTTTCCCTCAGGGGCAGAGTTGCTCAACGAGACCACCAGAGTCTCCCAGCTATCCGGTAAAGAACTCAAAAGTAACAGCGCCTGCAACTCTTCATCAAGTTTTATATCCATGGTAACAAGTTGGTTTACCATGTCTTGAAACTCATTCAAGTGTTCTGCAACTGATCTCCCATCCCGATATTTAGATTTACAAGCTTTCTAATGACCAAAGCTTTATTCTGTGCAGTCTTCCTCTGGTACATTTGTTCAATTTTGTTCCACAGAGTATGGGCGTTAGACTCTGTGGCAACATGGTGGAATATGCTGATATCCACCCACTGTCTGATTAAACTGACAGCCTTCCTGTATAATTTTTTCCAATCGTCATCCTTCACATCATCTGGCTTGTTGTCTCCCTTTTCTACAGGATCGTACAGATCTTTGTAGAAAAGTATGTCCTCCATTTTTGGCTTCCAAATGGAGTAATTTGTTGCTGTGAGCTTCACCATGGTACCCACGTTCTCCTCCATTTAATTTACACTGGCCGATACAGAGCCCAACTTGAGCTCTGATACCACTTGTTGGGCTCAGATGCGCAAATGCGGAAGATGTAAATTAAAATATCAAGGTAAAATGGTAAACAATAACCCCAATCCCAGCAACTCAAGAATGACAAAAGAAAATCTCTTGCAAACAAGAATAATTCTTTTCTGATGTGGAAGATCAGATTAAACTGCAAGCACAGAGCATACTAAGAATATCCCAATTAAATAAAATATGCAAGAAATAAGACACCAAGATTTAACGTGGAAAAACCTCCAAATAGAGGAAAAAACCACGGGACAACCTCCGAACAATTCCACTATATTTTCAAGATAATTACAATATCTTTTCACACTCCCTTACACTAGAAATGTAAAATATAGTGACCCAGTGAGACCCCACTCTTAAACAAGGAATAATAGAGTTGATACCCAACTGTTCTAAAAGTCGGCCTAGGCGCTAGGCGGTGCCCGGGCGCCTCCGATTTGCACAAATCGGCAGAAAAAATCGGCCAGGCGGCTAGGCGGCGCCTAGGCGGCCCTAGGCGCTCCTAGGCGGCAATTTTTCAGTTTTTTTTTTTTATTTTTTTTATTTTTTTAAATATTAATTACATTATTTTGTTTTCAAGTTTTCTTTAAAATATATTAATTTGATTATTTGGACTTAGGTGTGTCGATTTATTATAAGTTGAGATAATTTTATTATGTAAGTAGTTAAAATAAATAAAAAAATAAGGTATTTAATATTGATTTCTAGGCCCCGACTAGGCGCCGCCTAAACCCGACTAGGCGCCGCCTAGGCCCCGCCTAGGCGCTCTAGGCGCTAGGCGCTGGTCGAGCACCTAGTGGGCGCCTAGCGACTTTTAGAACACTGCCCAATCCGGTGTATTTTTCACACACTCACAGGATTTACTCAAACACTCTATTTTTATCTCACTGAAAAATAACACACAGAAATATTATTTCTGTTCTCTCTCTTGTTCTCTCTTTTTTCTTCTTCCTTGGTGCGATTTCAGCTCTGCCCATTGCTCCCTATTTATAGGAAAATGAAGCTCCAAATGACAATTCACATTGTCAGACATAACAACTCATTTTTAATAAAAAATTCCTAATCAACTTTAGTTGTTAGAATCTTACATCTATTTGTTTGTTGTTTTTCAAGGTTTGGCTGGACTGTCATGTGGCTAGTCCCCACACATTGCACTTTGCCCATAATTTTGTATCATGACTCATCAAACGTCCAAGGGTCTGGTTCAAGCTCACCCGAGACTAAGTCCAAAGACTTTTCAGGGAACATGAACCGGTTGTCTGTCTAACAACCTCCCACTGTGACGAGACACTATTTGCACAGCGCATCATCAGTGACTCGTGTTGCAATATTATGTGGTTTATATACTTGCACACTCGGTATTGGATGCTCGACCTCGCCTCT